GTAACTGATGTCACTTCTTGATGAATACCACCTTAAATGAATATCTTTCTAATAGTGAGTGATTCATCTCAATGGAATGCTATTCCTCTTTGAATACAAGCAAGTGATAGATAACTGTGCGTACATATTGTGGTGGAAACCACGTGGATGGGACTTACTAACACCTTATAAAGTCCTGCAAATGCAGATGAATTTGCTTAGACCACTGTTTGGATACACTTTTATCATGTACTATTTGAGCAAGTCAGTTGTAGGTTATATCCCCATCATATGGACTAACAAACGGAGTGTGAAGTGTGGTCCTTGACAAGTGCTTGTCGTTCTTCTACTTTTTTTATTCACACAGGTGGTGAGCTATCACACCTCTGAATAAGGATCAATGCCTTACACGTTCAGTCCTAAGCACTAAGGACTAGACAAGTAAATCGCTTACCAATTAGTCATAAATTCATAAACATACTTGTCTTACAGGGAGGCAGTCTTGGCCTGAATAGCTTAGTGGTTACGTCTCCGAATTCAAAATTGAGTGGCGTAGGTTCCTCACATACACAGATGAACCCTACTGGCGAGTGACAACCAGCACGAAACCTAGGCCAGAAGGGACTTCCCATTGACTTCCACCAAACGGTAGACTTTGGCATATGACTGCAGTCCTAGTAGGTAACTACCTTTATGTTATTTTTAAATACTTCTCACACATGTACTTTGAGGTTTGTTCTAGAGACTTCATCGGTGCTTACTTCATAAAAATGTGAGACATTTCCAAGGTGTAAGAATGTTTATGAAGGACGTTTGCTGACCTTGAGTTCTGTTAGTTTATCTGTCGGGGTGAATTTGCCTTCTTTTATTTTATCGGGAGTTGACACTTATAACTATTGTTATCGTTTGACCTTTGCTGTTGCCTGATGTCAGAAAAGCCATTTACTTGATTGGCTTTTAGTTAGTCGATCTTTTTAAGTGGTCTGTACGCTTAGTCAGTGCCCACTTGTCTATTGATTACAATTTGATTAGAATACCATACTTCCAAGACCTCTGTTACTATTTTTCAGTTTGCTTTGTGTAGTATTTCCACGCTATTCCAATGAAAGTGGTGGTTGTGCTCATCTATATGCATCGATATACATGATGACATATCATGTCGTTTGATCGCAAGCTAATGCTATTAAAGTATTTGAGCCATCCGACAACTGGACTGGCCAATATTTGCAACTAAATTTGTAGAGTATATAGGTCTCGTCTTCCTTGGTGTATGGATTCTTCCCCGTACATAACATGTTCTATAAGGATTTAGTTGATTTATGCGCCATGCTGATACTTAATGAGTGAGGTAACTGGTTGACAGTTTTTGAGACCTCTTTGATATTTGTTACTGTGATTCCTTTTGCAAACTGAGTTTATTGTCCTGGTATGTGTTCAGTTGACAGAGATTACTGGATGAAGTTGATTGGGCTACAATCGGTTCTGAACACCTTTTAAAGTGGTTAACTTCTGATTTTCGCACTTCTTAAAGGCATAATGAGTCTCAGCGTGTGTGAATGGTGCTTACCAATTATTCTCTTTATGAAAGGTTGGTTTTTACTGTTACTGTTCGAAACTTGATCTGTTAACCTCAGCTTCATATGCTTTTGAGTCTGTTAACTTTCATAATGCGTTCTACCTATACGAACGTCCGGGAAAACGATTCCGTTGTCTTTTTCTACATCTTTTGTGAAATGAATACCTTCACAGGTTCAGTTGATGAAACTGAATGTTTTACAATCCCCTTGTTATGATGATGACAAAAGTGTCATTTTTTTGCTTTTTTGCTTGACGATTGGAATAACTATTGACTCTAGTCTCTGCATTCCTATTTCAGTCACAAGTCTTGATATTCTTGTTTGTTTGCTGATCATCCGGTTGAACTGGAAGTATGTCATGACACATAGATTGATCAGTGTTTTCAGGTTCCAACGGTACGACTAAGTGTCATAGTTCTGTTTGTTGTTCTGGTGTGATACCTGCAGTTTGGGGGGATTCAAAGGTTGTGCAGAAATTCTATGTATTTGCACTCTCCCTATCATAGTTTGATTCTTGTGGAGTAAACTGAAATCTTTGGAGGATAGAGTTCTTTATGAAGGGTTCACTATCCATTTTTGTTTTTTTACTTTACATTGACTTGGTGAGCTTGAACAACCTTTTATTCCAGTTTTCTCTTTTTCACTCCTTTCATTTTCTTTTTTACCTTTACGGTAGTCATCTGTTGTTGGTTCATAATCTGTATCCCCAGGGTTGGTTGATGTTGAGTAATGATTATCCTATTGAATATGTTGAGTCTGTTATGTATATCCATTTTGTCCAGTAGAACAACTAATATATTTGATACTTACGAGGAAGCTATACCTTCACAAACATTTATGTAAGAGGAAACGTTGTTCTCGGATGCAAGCCCTCTGGTCCATAAGGCAATAAAAAGCGTAATACACTGAAAAGGTTTTGAGATGGTAGAAAAGATTTATAGCTAAGGATAAAAATGATAATTTCTAGATGTTCACCAAGCTCTGGTATTTTTTCTTTTACCTTTCGTGACCAAGGTAGGTGAATTCATCGTCTGGTGCAAGGGTAGTTGATAAGTACGGCTGGAGTTTAAAACAGCTGGAATTTAGTTTCATTTGGATTGTGAGGTTGAATATGTTACTTGATACAGTGAGACAAGTCATTTGGAATAAAAAGTTTCTTCTCTGTGGCAGATGAGAAGTATATAAAACCAACAGTAAAATTGCTACATCATAAATTTGCTTTTAGCTTTTTCTGTGAATGACCACTTTTCTACTTATTGTCAGCATATGAAGAAAGCTTTGACTTTTGAGGTCAAGGGGGTAACTAAAGAGATTGAATATACAATATAAAAACGCCTAGCCTCCTTTGAAACACAAATATTTGACCATTAGTTGGGAAAAGGTTTATTGTGGGTAAAATATTGGTTTAAAATGAGAAAAGAAAAAAATAAACAGCATACAACCTGTGTGCAGCATACTTTGGTTTTGCGTTCTTGAATGTCATTTCAACCATCTTTTTGAAAAAAGTTTCAGTTAAACTGAAGTTTTTCTGTGTATCCTATGATTATTTTCTTTTAGAATGCCCCTTCTTTGAACGTATACTTATTTGTGTTAAAAGACTTAGGCATTGTAACAAACTCAAACGTTGAAAGAACCGTATATTCGTCACTTATACTCTACTCAGTCTAAAAGCCTTTCATTTCCATTATAACACGAATACTCAAATCTTTCACTTTGAAAGAAGAATAAACTCAAGTACTTGCTATATTTAGAGTGACTTGTTGTTACTACAAGATCACAAACAAGTAGACAAAGCTGATTTCCCTTATGGTGCCATCAGCTTGTGAAGTCCATTCAACTAAAAACCGTGGATTACAAAATAATGAATGTCATACTATGACATGAATATACAGTTGTGTAAGAGTCACCTATCACTGTAAATGCGTTTGTTACAGACTAAGCAGTATATGTACTGATGACTGACATTCCTAACAGAACTGATGTGACTATATGTTACTTTTAAACCTATAACTCTCTTAAGCGTTCAGTCGTGAAAGAGGATCTGTAAACTCTTTAGTCATGACATGAGATTCATCAGCGATTATTTATATGCTAAGTGAATACACATACTAAGCAAATAACAAGTTTCCAGTGAACATGGTGGTTCAGATTTCTCCTAAAGGAAAAGAAAAAAGTATTCTTTTGATGATGGTGTGTTTCTGGAGCTGGATGATTTAGTTGTAAGGCTTTTGTTGTCATTCTAGACATCTGAGGTTAGGGCTAATGTTGTTGTCTAGAATGTCAATGAAAGGTCTGCGGTTGTCATCCAGCTGAGGGAATGCAGCACCATCAAGATTACCCTCCTGAGCTGCAAATGTTCTTCATCATCTTAAAATCCTATGAGCCCTAAAGTTTTCATTTGCTTGTCTACGCGTTTCAAATTCAATAGAAGATATTCTGACAGTACACTCACCATCTGTAACAAGTGTTTAGGGTTAAAGGGCACGTGTCTTCAATCGTTACCGTTTCTCAGTCACTGTTATCATGGAAATCAGACTGCACTGAAGGGTATCATTTCATAAAGTATAAGTAACAGAAAAACAGATGAATCTGTTAGGGTAACCATTAATTAGAAACTTATATGAAATAAAAATTGACCACATTTTACTCACCTCATATATTAGAAAAAGCATTTAAGCTTCTGTTGTCTGTGTTCATCAAAAATGAACGCCTGGAAAGATTTGTTAGTACAAATATGTAACAGAAAAGTGTCTTTAAAACATGTGCCAGAGGGGATAAAAATATCTTTGAATTTAGAATTTAATGGTGACACTGTAGATGACATTTTAATAAGTTGAATAATGAAAATTGTTACGAGAATATTGTGTATTGTTACTCTAGGAATCACTAAGACTATCGATTCACTGGTGAACACCTGCGCGAAATGCAAACTACCACAGCTGTCTCCTTCAGTACGTATATATCACTTCACCTGTTTCTGAGAAGCTGAATATTTAAGCAGTACGCTGAGGTAGGTTGTTCGACGCTGACATTATTATTTTCTGACATGGCTCCATAAAGGTCATTAGTATAAGTGTAAAACTTTAGCATCGTGTTTGGATGTCTTGATATTATAAAGCATAATGATAGAATATCATTCACTCACTATGGGCTACATATCAAATAAAAAATCCAATATGAATTCAGATCAGTCTAGTTTTCCATCCTACAGTATTTAATCGACAGTGAACACACAATTTTAGTAGGTTTCATTGGTGTAGTTTACAGAGTTCAGAACAAACTTTTAAGTTAGATAACCTGAGAATTAATATAAGCTTTTTAAACAAGTTAATGATAAAAGTAATAAAATTTATTGTTTTCAAAGAAGATAATAGCGTAAGCTTACCCATAGAATGTGAATCAGGGAGCTTTTAAACAATAACAGACTCTAAAAATATAACTTACCACTTTCACAATGGCTAACACCATCACCTCTGTAACCGGGTAAGCATTGACAGAATGCCTGGTTTGGATCAATACAACGCGCTTGAACATGACAGTTGATTGCACCACACTGTACACCGACGTAGTTGTGAACTACAGATATTCAAAAGTGTAAGTGAAAAGTCCTAATCATATAAATAATTTGATTAACTATATTATTTTATTTTCATAAACATTATTTAATTATTACTCATCCATGCAAAATGAATACTGCAATTGCTTGATAAAGCTTACTGAGTTTATGCAGAATGAATATCTGTTGATATATCTGTAATTCTCCGTTATTTTACTGGATCTGATTGCCCAACCTCTATTGGTATAAGGGTTCCGATGCTCATGCTTCGATATTGTCTAAATATTTACTATGATAACTAACTTGTTTGTGGCTACTCGTAATCAGTACCAGACAGAAGAAACTCGCGTCCTGGATTCTTCCGTTAATACCAACCAAGTAAATTATCACAGTAAATATTCAACCAGTGTCGAGCTATCAGCATAGAAGCCCATATGCCAATACAGGTCGGACAATTCGACCCGGTAAAACAACGGAGAATTACTAGCATATCGAAACACTGTAATAACTAATGCCCGTTGTACAGGTGGTGGCTATCGTGCCTCAGTGGCATAGTGGATAACGCATTGGGGTTTGAAGTGATGAGTACGAGGTTCGTGAGAACAACATCACTCCGCACTGGGGTAGAGGGACATCCAGCAGACGAGTTCCAAATAGGAAGAAACGCGCATCCTGGATTCTTCTGCTAGCCACAACCAAGTAAATTACCTATGCAGTATCATTTCATTTAATATTTACCCAAATTGTCGTTGCAAAGATCATTTTTTAGATTTTTAAAATACAATAGTTTCAGCGTTACAGAATCTGTTGAATGACTTAAATATGATTTATATCTTCTACAATTCAAACCATACTGTAAACAAAGTTAATAACTTATATTATTGCTTGTGGTTTCTTGTTGTTGACCAAACCGAATCAACCACCCATCATTGGCATATGAGCTCCTGTGTGGATCCCTCAACAGTGTCAGTAATTTCAGTTTGACAGAAGTGTTGGATAGAAATTTACAGTGGGATCTAGAATGCATGTTTCTGGATTCCACTACTACGGTCGATTTGTACTTATTACATATATATATATATATATATATATATATATATATAACATGTAGCGTTAAAGATCAAACATGTACAAAAATTTTATTCCTTATTCTAGTATTATTGATAATCCCAGGAGAAAAACGAAATCCGCTTTACACTGATCTATTCTTATCTCTCTTGATCAAAATTTCACTTGGTTCCATTATCTACTGGCGAATACATTTGCAATTTGTTTCGCATTCATTAGCCTGTATAAGCAAAATGTGTTTAATATATTGTCAATACCTTGAGAGTGTAGAGTACAGTTGTCCAGTATCAAAGTCACAGAGGTTATGTTTAAATTGTCCAGGATATGATTTCGCGTTTAACCTAACTAAGCGGTTAACAATTATCTTTGTCTTGAAGTCGATTGCTGCTGAAAGATATTAGTAAAATGCTTTCAAGCTGATCACCATAAAATAAGATTTTTCTCAGTGTGTCTCAGAATCTGTGACAATGGTTATAAATTAGATTAATTAGATTATCCTGATGTATTAAGCTTCATGAAACTAAACACTAAAATACCTCAGCTGATGGTTACAAGGCGGAGACCAAGTAAAAATAAGTTTCAACACAATTTTGCGGGAAGAAAGTAGTCAATAATAATTTTTTGGTGTATCAGTCATGTAACAATACATTACAAAGAGAATCAGATAAATGGTAGAGTTTACAAACAAGTAACTAATCACTTTGATATTATTGTGTTTCATAATAATCCTTGTTGTTACTGAAGCAATAAAATGTGTTCTAAGTAGGCTATTTAGCTGAAATAACTATGGGAATCGTGAAACATTATAAGCTGAATAGCAAACTACTTAAATATGTTAACTATAAAAGTATGTATCAGACTATTGTACTTCAATTTGTTCAATGACCCCTTTCAAGAATATTCAACTTTAAAGATATGAATAAATCAACTCACATTCATGACTTAAAGTGTAATTTTTCTTGTCATGATAATTCATGAAGATGAAATAAACAACTATTTGTGATACCCATCTCTTTTCAGTTTTATTCTCTTATAAACTTCAGCGTCGAATTCTTGAGCTAGTTATTTTCAGAGAACTTGTAAGCGTTCATTAGAAAGTAAACATAATGAGAACATAATATCAGTTGTGCTCCTCTACAGCATGATGATCAATATGCAAATGATTTACAGATTGCACGGTCCATGTTGATATTTTTCACAACTGAGTAGTTTTTCGGTTACCTAAGTGTGATGTCAACAGTGTTACCGTTGAAAGCCATCCCGTAGTCAATATCACAAGGCATTATCTCTGATGCATAAGTGTCATAAACTAAAAAAATATATTACTGAAAAACTTCAGTAGTTGGAAAACACTCAGGCAGATCTGTAGATTGTCATCCGCATCAGAGTCATGTAAACACTGGACAGTCGTTTCGGTCATTTAAGATCGAGTTCGTGAGACTTTCATGATATGAACAATTTGCCTGTACGAGATGAATTTGTCTGGCTACACCACTGGTGAGCTGGCTTTGTCCCTAGACGATCATAACTACCATCGGATTTTCAGGTCACTCTGATTTGGCTGACGAAATCTATAAGCGTGAATGGTTTCTAACTAATTATCTCGTTCAGTAGTATATTTATTTAGGCTTAGATACACTTAAAGATACCGAAAGATCATTTCTTGTTTCACACAGACTCTTAAAAATCAAATAACTGAGGCCATTTTTTTGGATGAACACATCCAAATTAATGATGAACTCTCAACATCATCAATCTCAATTTTTTTCAGTAAAAAAATAAGTGATTGATCTAAAAGTATGCAGTGCGGTATGAGGTATCTACTTTTATTCATAAGTTATGTATTCGATGAGGAAACTCAAAATGCTTAGCTAAGTAAACCTAGTTTTATTAACACATGATTTATGTTGAAAGCACTACTCATGATATTTAGACTCTCTTTACTTATGTTTCAGTATGCCTTATTTAGAACTTAAGAATTCTGAGTTTTACCTCAAAAAAAGAAGTTTGTCGGTGAGTATTACAGACGAGTCATGGTGAAGGCTGAGCAAAGCAAATAACTAACCCCTTTGGATATAAAATCATTTTGGTTATTTAACTAGTTTCTTCTGTACTGAGTTGCATCTTCAGTAGTATTCGAGTCATCATAATCAGTGTGAATCAAAAACTGTTCGGTGCAACCATATCCTGAGCTACAGATATTCTGATAACGTTCAATGCCTTTTTAAAATAATATCCCTAATTTTTGAGTCACCCTTATTTTCGAAAACTTTTAGATTCGATGCATTTTGTTAGTAGTTTTCCTACCATTTAAGGTGTTTCCAAACTTTTGATATAAATACCTTTTTAGTGTTAATAAACAAACTATTCGAATTTCATTTTTGCCAGTTTTCGTTTATCAAGTTCAACTAATTAGCAGCACTTTTATAGAATAATAATTCATTTGTGTACTCTAAGAATAAATATTTAAAGTTTTGCTTTAAACTGACTGATGTTCGACATAATTTCGCGCATAACGTTTTCATCTTTCTGCAAATTAACGAAAAGCATTTTAATGTAGGTAGCTGACCAAAAACTAGGCAGTAATGTTATGAAAACTGAAAGCACTTAATTATGAATAGAATGATCTACTGTGGGCTTTAGAAATTTATGCACACTAAGAGTTTACTTACCATTAGACACTGGAGCTGCTTCCACATGATGATCAGTAGGTGAAGAAAGCAAAACAGAAAGATAAAAGGAAAAAGCTTCAGGTGAGACATTGAATTTGAAAAATACTGGCTATTTGTCGATGTTTAAAGCTTTAGTGTAGAAAGTAGAAACATCTTATGTTTTGAGATATATCATTGAAGGTCTGTTCAGAGGATAAAAGCCTTTAAGAAATATCAGTAATCTCGTAAAGGGCAGAAGAGCTAGAAAACTATATTCCTAAGGCAATACGAAGCACTAACACATTTAGTTAAATGCCTGTTATGCAAATATTGGAGTTATTACTTGCAAAGTCCTTTCTCTACTGTGGAAATTGGGAATACATGTATTATAGAATGGGGAAATTTCGTCACAATTTGTTGCAAAATCCAAAATAATGAAAACAGGACGGACTATTTATTTGCCATGGGATTTATACAGCATGTCCAAATGACTGATATGACTGGTCGGTAACCCTTCCTCAGTTGTTTCAGTAATTTGACTATCTAAACTCAGTTATTTCCTTGAAAATATCTGATAATCTAGGCATGAAACTGTGATAAACACCATCAGTCGTTTATATAAGCACCATCCACCTGGCTAACACTATTGATTAATGTGTGTAGGCTTTGGATTACATCTATCAGATAGCAGTATGTATCTAGTGCTCTAAAGTACTGGTTAGAAAACTTAGTTATACTACAGAAATATTGTTCTTTGAGATATTTCGCTTTTTGCACATTTATGGACTTATTAATGTGCAGATAGGCGGGAATGAAACAGTTTTTCCTAATGGGTAGTCATCACAAAGGTTCTTTCTAATGAGGTAGGATATTTCAAATGTTGTTATAGATGTATGTTGGAAGTGAATTATTTGGTTCCAGTAGATTCGCCACATACTTCCTACACTTAAAGCTCATTGTTTGTTATGTGTATTGGCCATAAATTGTAGCTTCGGAAGTAAACGCTTTGGCATTTGAAGTGATGAGTGCTGTGTTCGAGTTTCAGTGGGAACAATGTCACTTATTGGGATGCAGGTACATTCGGCTAACGTGTTCCAAGTATAACGAAGAGTGAGTCATAGATTCCGCTGTTAATCACCAAGATGAATACAACCTTAGGGACATAATACCTATTTAGACGATAGCTTTTCCTCAGTTGACTGCAAATTCACACTTATTTGTTCACATATAGATACCTATGTTTGTTAAAGGTCAGAATCTTTCATTTCTGTGACTTCAGAAAAATAAATTTTTTTTTCTCAGTATCATTGCTATTAGTTGAGTACTTATTAGATTATGTCAAGCATACACAAACGAATGTCGGAGAGGAGAAATGTTCATCCCCATTGTGACTGGTTACCTGCTAACCTCCGTGTCATTCCTTGTCTGACTATTTCTTGTTTCAAGGTTTCAGAATCACTATTTTACTCTAGTCAAAGTTTTATAAATAATCATGGAGTGTGTTTCATTTATTGTCATGTTCTGGTTTACGGTTCTTTAATTCTAACTATTATTGAAAACATAGTAAATGGTCAGTAGTTCAGCCATTTGATTTCATTTACCTTACTATAAAATAGTCATGACTGACATGTCCAGTTTAGTCATTTTGGTGAAAGTTCAGTTGGCCTACATGTGACTACATGTTATGTACGCCACAATGATGTTACTTTTGTAAAAACGAACCTTATAAAATTAATAAATTTTTCCCTAATGTACTGAATTTGCAAAGCTTAAATCATCGATGTCATTTAATTTCGAACATAAAAAGCTCCTAGTAGAAGTGAATTAAGTTATCACAATACTTTATATACACCTTACTTGCGCTGATAATGCTTTGATAAGCCAATAGTTGCAAGACATAAGGTTGAATTTATTCTGCTACTATCATTCTTAAATACTGGTTGTTCAGTAGAGTTTTTAGTCAGAGATATAATTGGGGTTATTGTTGTTAATAATTCTATATGCGTTTCTCTAAAACTAGATTTATTTCACTGCTGTCACTGTGGACTGAAAAGAAAATTTTGTTTTAAGCAATAAACTCGAATGTAAAACATTGTACTGCAATGAATTACAATAATTTTGTTATTTAGAACAGATTAATGGAATGTGAGCTAACATTTTACAATCTTCTCAAAGCAGATCCTATTTATGTAGGCACTTACCTACCAATGATAGTTTTTGTCACAGACTGATAAGTATTGAACATGCGGAAAGTGGAACAGCATCCTTACCACTAGTAATTCTCTGCTGTCATTCACCTGAAGTTTTTGTTGACAGTCTCATTTTATCATGTTTGCATATTTTTGATAGTTCACACAAAAATCAAAAACGTTAACTTATACAGGACAAGGGTTACGGTAACCCTTATGGTTAAATCACAACCAGAATTCATAATGTGATGTAACTAAGAAAAGTCCTTGAACCGGCAAAAAAAGTAGTGAACACTTTAGCGATATACATGGCACTAATTACTTCGGATTTTAAGGTTTGTGAAGATTGCGAGATTTTTTCAAGTTGGTGCTCATCGTGGACTGACACGGGTTGGAGGAATACTAGAAACCTGGAAGCTCTGGATAGCTTTTTCGTCCAACTTGCATGGAACTCTTCAGCAGTGCGCACCCACGACCTCATCAAGGATCGCACCCACGACCTTAAAGTTTTCTGGCCAACATGTTACCATTGGGCTAATGGGTCTTGCTGGTCATGGAACCTGAAGGTCACAGGTTAGACCCCTTGTGGGGTCGTAGGTGCGCACTGCTAAAGGACCCCATATTAGAACAAAACAGCTGTCCAGTGCTTCCAGGTTCCCACTGTTCCTCCCACTGCTGTCAGTCCACGATGAATACCAACTAATTATTTTGGCACGACAAACCTAATTTTTGAATAAAATTAAACTGATGAGTTCTAATTGCATATCTTTTTAAGTGGTCTCAGACTGAAAGCATTATGAATGAATTACTTGTGATAGGGTTTGGACACAAGTGGTAGCTTTTTGTAAGAAAGAAATATAACTCACCTTGGCACGTGTTATCAGGCATTAATTGCAAACCCTGTCCACATTCACATCTATAAGTTGTACCCTCTGCGCGGCATACTTCACCTTGACGGTCACATATCACACAGTCACAAGGAGCTGGGGAAAAATTGAATAAAAATTAGTTTAAATTATGAAAACATTGGAAAGTTGTTATCATGCCGGTTTAACTTTGCTACTTAGCACAAAACGGACTTTTCTGATTGAAAACATTGCACCAATTGCTTCTATCTGTAGAATTATTCAGTATGCGAAAAATCAACGAAACCATACGATGTACTACACTTAAGAATCCTTTTACTGCACCAAGTAATGTTGAAGAGATTTGGAGATAGGAATCGGTTGTATGAAATTCAATCATAAGTGAATAATTTGAAACAGAGTAATTTGATAAATGAACCTGCAACAGCTTACTCCATCCAAACGTTTTGTCTGAAAGTAGTTCCTTCAAGAATAGGTTGATCGAAAATACAAAACTAAGATACGAAAATAAAGTAAATTGCGCCAAGTTAAGCTGTAACTTGTTGATCTAGGTAATTGATTTTTAACTAGTAGGTCATGGACCCGATTTTTAGCTCCATCTGGCGCAAGAATTTGCAAATGTTTATTGAGACGAGATACTTGCTTACTTAAAGTTGCTTGTTGTTCCAAGGAATGAATAAGAATTTAAAAAGAAAAAAATGAGAATAATTTTGATCAACCGACTTAGTCTGAGTCTATAACCACTCCTTAATACAGTTACATAGTCGGGATGAGTAAATAAAATCGCTGCTTTTGTGAGTATAGATCAGATAAATTACTCTATGTGACCTGGTCAAGTCTTCTTTTCATGTCAGGTATTGCTTATTGCACGTTGATCTTGTTTAATTGAACTGTATATTTAAGTATAAGAAATCTAAAGTTCATATATAAGCATTAATTCGTTGTACTGATCACGAAGATCAGGTGTGGTAGCTAATATGTTGACAAGCTGTAACTGGATAAGTAAGGGCTGGGGTTCCTTGGTTTAGGGAGATGACTTTCAGCCACTAAGTCGCCGCTCACCTACCGAGATCTAAGGAGCCGGATGGTATCGCTAGCCCTCACATAATACCTACTGCATGCAGGTGCAAAAAGTTTCTGAAATCCTTTCAATTCGAATGGGACAATATTCAGTCATTCATGTTTTCTAACCTCTATTTGCTGCATATTATGATTAGCATTCAGTATCTTAGGCAGGTCTCCATTCTCACTTTTGGTTGGGATCTGCTCACAGGTCACCGTATTTAATGGAAACTTCATAAAACCCATCTTAAATCAATTTGAAAAAAAGTAGTGGATTTCACTTCAATCAGGTTGTATGAATTTGTAAGCAATTTTTCTTAAATACTGTAGTCATTTGGAGGATTAACTGAGTTATACTGTACCGACCAACTTGACAAGGATTTACTGATACAATAACCGATCTGACGGACATTTTGGTGCTTCTTTGCCAATGCCGATTGTTACACAGATGTATCTCTATAGCGTGAGAACTAATCTTACAGGTTAACAAGATTAGAAACTAACGCCCTGACTTTCCTGAGGGCCATATAGTACTGAAAAATCAAAGCAACGATAGCCAACGCTTTGTCTCACTCACGTGGAGTTTGATATTTCAGGTGAGAATCGCATCCCGCAAATAGGCCTAAAAACCTTAAAATTTTCTCACAATCAATGAACATATCTCAAAGTTTCTAGGGATGACACGATAATGTTGGATTATCAAACCTTGCTGAAGAAGCATAACCAATACCTTTCCAGAACAGCCAACGTCATTGCAAATTTATGCACATTTACAAATCATTGTTTCGTTCACAGCTTGATGCGAAAGTACATGTTTTGTTACCTTACTATCTCTTATTTTCTCATGAATTTAGCGGCCATTATCTAGAGGTTACTATTCAAGTGCTAACACGAAGGTTATAACCAAAACTTTCCATATGTGGCTTTCTTAACTACTGCCACATTTGAGATGCCAGTCTCCATGTTTCACTATGTACCAATAGCAATAGGATGGATGCTTTTGAGGGGCCACTAATTAAGATAAAGTACTAACTTAGTATGTGCTGATTTTCAATGGTTCTCGAGCTGACGTCAGCCTGTGATGAAAATCAACCGATTCTTACAAATCTACGCCTGAATTATTGTTTTTGTCTGATTATTCGTTTACTTACGAACCTTCGTTTCTATGCTGTGAATCATATTTGATTGAAATTTAAGTAACTATATATATATATACTTTTTGTATTTCCCCTTATTTTATTATCCAGATATTCTTATTTATCCCAGTCTTATTGAGGCCTAAAGAAAAACAGTATTGAAGGGTTTTAGATGAAACACAAAAGTTTTAAAATCACCACTTTTGATTATTTTGCTGGTTCAAACAGTCCAGAACAAATCAAATACAACCTGGAGTCTGACATTTAACCACTGCATTAGCTAGCGGGTGAGAATAAAACGACTGTGGACCTAAGTTTTGGCGGTCTGCTTGTGCCGTGGGTTAATGAGATTTTCCAACGAACGCATCAAACGTTTTCCTTTCAATTTGTTATAGTCATTCAAATATATCCTCCGAGCGTATCTTGTACTCTTGCGCCTATTTTAAATGTTTTCAACTTTTACTTTCTCGAGTTACTAACAAAACAGAGGAAAAGTGTCACATTATATGGAAGTGGTCTTTTCAGTGCGTCATATTTCTATACTTCGAATACTTAGCTTGAGTTGTAGATTCTTGTACATGCTGCATAAACCCCTACCACTAAACTTACTCTGGAGTTTCCGTTGGTTCTTCATTCTAGACCGGATGCTAGTCCAAATCCAGATGGCTTTTTTACATTATTGCCTTGAATACTGTTGTTGTTAGCACCATTCAGATTCAACAACCATTTAGTCAGAAAATATTGGTCTAAGAATGTCTTTTTTGAGAAATTACTGACTGAGAACCTCATAATATATCATACATATTGTAATAATACTTGTAATTTCCCGTTGCTGAACAGGGCCAAATTACTCGACCTTTGTTAGCAGATGGGTTCCTATGCAGATGACTTGAGCCTTGGTGGGAATAACATCACTCCGCACTGGGGTGCAGTTATAGCCAGATAACGAGTCTCAAAGAGGACGAAACGCGCATCCTGGATTCCTATGCTAGTCACCAACTTCAATATAATATCACAAATACCGTTTTAAAACAAAGCAATTATTAATAATACAACTAGTATTATTGTCATGGATAATATTTAAATGAGATACACGGGGAAATCTTTGCTTTTAATGAATGAAACGAACAAAAACCTATTTTCTTTTCCATTGAAATAATGTTCCTAAATTGTAGAGGGAGGTTAACTGATGAAGGCCTAAATTAAATTGCTGACCGACTCTTTAAGTAAAGGTTTTATTTAGGCTTTATTTTGTTTTTCCACCCAGTGTACCAACAAGGGCCCATAGATTAAATCCATACCAGTCAAAAGCGGTAAATAACAACTCATGATATATTTCGACCCAGTATTTTAATCTGTGGTGTGCTGTTTCCGGTAGAAAATAACAAGTGATCAAGTGGAACTTAAAGTTGGGTAAAGGTTGATAACGGTAGTGTTGACTTGTAAACCAATCGACAGAAAGTTCAGATGTCTGTATTTTTCTATGTGGTTCTTATCTAACTAAGTATTCTTTTGATAGTTAGTCATATATAAACATCTGCATTTCTCTAATCACGTGAACCATTTGAGACATAAGTCTTCTATATAATTCTTGTGTATCGTGTAGAATGATGATCAGGTGAATACATTTAAAATTGACCAGAATATCAGTCCATATTTTGATAATCACACATCAAATTAGGTTATTTCTTTATCATAGGGTGGTGCAACTTTGAGCTGTTCATTCGGACATGGGTTACCTTAAACATATTTTAAAGTGCAATCCATTTTAATTTTTCTTATTAATTCAATTATCTCAAATAGAAGTGGTTTGGTAGACATCTACTGATATTGGTTGATGGTTGAAGGTGGAATAAATATCTAGTCCGTGGCAGGATTTGAACGAGTACCCTTCAGGGTATTGGTCACGTGCTGGATCAGCTGAGCTGCGAGACCCAACTGATGACTAAATTTTCATTTCACTTCAGTCGCCAAAGGTTTTGCCTAAGTGCCATCTGAATACATGATCCGTTACTGTCGTTGTATCGTACTCATGCTGACTGCTGAGACACGACTTCGTATCATAATCCATTTGATTTTTGACCACTGTATTACTCCTTATGGCATTCTCAACAATAAGGCTGATGAAAAAGATATTCCATATTTATCTTCTGCTCAACTTCGGCGACTACCAAGGTATCAAGTTGTCAAGAAACGTATTACTGTTGTCAGCAGTAGCAAATACAATAAAGTAACAACTCAGCATTTAGTAAAGAAGTAACAGTTAAAGTGATCATGATGGTGAATGCAACTCAAAACTGCCTATAAATTGTTAGTTTGAAAAACTACGATGCCATTGATTGTGACTAAATTCAGTGAAAGATCTTGAACGAATGGTAACGAAAACTTGATTTGACTAAGGGTTTGAAATGACCACATAGTGATTACTGTTTTGACTTAGATTTTAGACCGTACAATGAACTAGATTTCAAATTAATTTTGCTAAGTGATGTAAAACAAATACATAAAAACTATATGACCATTAGAATATATCTTTAAAAACAAACCCTGTACAGTATCTACATTTGTGAAACAGAAACTGTTATCTTTATACATGTCATGATTCCCAAAAATTCACTTTCTCAAAAAGAAGCGTAGGTTCGACCTTGTTAGTGTATCAACTTGAAGTTTCCCAGTTTTTGGATGACTTACATAACTATTTCACATATGCTGGTCACCTAAATATGATAGTGGACAATGTCAAATGAACTACCAGTTATCACAACCAATATATAGCGAATCTGAATCACTTCACTGGCATACATCCTGGAGTTTGTTTCTCCCAAAAAGGAGAAAAACTGAACTAAAGCAGGCAGCTCTGCACATTTTTTGATGTGTTAGTGGAAAGACTAGAATGCGGCTCCATAGAATACGTAAAAGCATCAATCGTGGTATGTAATATGACCACTGTTTACATTTCATAACTGCAGGACCTGAGTGGAGTTTATTGAAAGGCATGTTCTTCATTCATATTGTCTTCTAGGCCATTAAACCCGAAACGTAAGTGATATGTAATTGTCCGTTCACTGTCATCATACTGACTTTGCAGATACGTCTTCTAGTTTTGATCAAAATAGATGCGTACTAGTAGTGACTGGCTATAAGTTATGCTGTCTGAGATACCCCCATTTGTCAAACTAATCATTTTTCTGCCTCCTCAGCAAAAACAAGGCTGCCATGGGACCTGAATATCCAACAAAACATTTTTATTCAGTATTTTAGTTATTAATTGTATTATCCTGTCTCTAATTAAACCGAATGAATCGGTCTCTGTTAGGATATGGGCTCTTGTGCGGATGCCTTGATTTCCTATGTGTTTCAATTTTACGTGGCAAGACATGCAAATCAATTGGTGAGGTTGTCAACCTTAGTCGACTGAAGTGGCTTGGACATATACTGCGAATGTCAAGCCACCACCTACCTTGACGTACCATGCTAAAGAAAGTTGGATTAGGTCAGAAGAGGGTTCAGGGTGGCCAAATCAAGACGAGGCACCAATTTACGAAATCTCTTACGGCTGATCTGAGTCGTATAGGGTGATTAGGAATGTCTGGTTGGGGTTCCCGAGACGATATATTCACTCCTTGACATTTTCCCAAGCTTGGATCTTCACACTACTCTTTATCCTCAGATTGGTTATTCTGTCATCCTACGTTATCTTCTTTGGTACCATTTTTTTTATCCACCTGTTCTTTGTGTACTACAATGAAGTGTGGTAACTTGAGGCAATGCAACTATGTGCGAGGCTCTACGTTAATCTTGTCATATATATATATATATATATATATATATATATATATCAGTGATGGGTACCGCGAAGTCCTTGACTAAGACCGAGCAGCTATATGGTGTTCCCAGATTTTCATTGGTACTCCGGTTGACATGAATGTGTGATGAAAATTTATTTCAGGTTATTTATAGCCGGAAAATATCAAATGTTAAACAAAATATCAGTCTTTCAGAGAAAAATGGTTTTGTCACAAATGAACAGAGTTAAGAAATCTACCCAATTCATAGATCTACTGCTTAGCATTTGGCTTATCATACGCAAAATTAAAATGAAGATAGGGATAAATCAGATATGTTCCTTATAGCAGTAAGGATAGTATTTCAGACGACTGATACCAAGTTCTGATTTGTTTACATTTTCTGTCTGCATTCCTTTTATCATAACTATCTTCTACAGTTATACTTATATGTTTTCAATAATCGGAAACTTTCGGATGGTATAACTGTTTACTATGTAATGGTGCATACAGCTACTTTCATCTGAAATACAAAAGCATGTCGACGAAACTATTTTTGAGCACCACTTCCAAAAACCTAATCAACTAGTATCTATCATTTGGAACAACGAAGATCCATTATTAAACTAGGTAGGACTGTTAATATAGGAGTAAAACTTGAGCACTGTGGTAGATCGTAATTCCATTTTAGTCTGTTTATTAGAAGTGTCACACAGTGAAACAATATCTTTTACTGGATAACGTTTCGGACACAATTTATTGTCCAAATTCATATCAGGTGACTCCACAACTTCAAAACAGAATTTATACATCCTGATTTTCTCTCCTACTCTGTGATGACAACGGTAGTAGAATTTTCCATACATCTAGGGCAGGTGCAGAATTATTTCAATTGCACGTACTGGTGCGTATTTGATAAACGAAGATTGGATTATTAATCTCTCTCTCCACTTAACTGTGTTATTATTTAGTACTGTCGCCCTATCCCACCACATTTTGTGATTGTGTGTAATTGTATGCATGGCTGTAGTAGAGCTCCTCTCTAAATTTCCTATCTTACTAGGATCTTCTAATCTTGATTTGACCAAGTTTTGTGCTCTGTTTTTCTAACTGATGCGAGTCGACTACTTTGATTCATGTGGTTAAACTCGCAATCATTGCAGAGGATTTGGTAGACCAAATTATTTTGCCTAGTTGAGCCAATAGGATCTTTTAACCTACATAGCTTGTTTTTAGGCATGTTTGCTGGTTTAAATGCTACTTTAATCCCAGCCTTAGTCAGAATTCTTCGTAGCTCTTCTGAGGTGCCTTCTCTGTACGGTAACACAGCAGAGGCTTTGAATTCTCTCTCAACCCTTTCACCGTTATTACCACCAGTAGTAGATTTGTTATTAATAACACCTGTATTACTACTACTACTGCTAATATTTTTCTTTCGATTTCTTATCAATTTATTTATAAATTTAGGTGGGTAATTATTGAGACGCCAGGTATTATTGATGCGTCTAATTTCTTATCGTAGACTTTCTGGTCTACCAGTTAGCTTTCCCACCCTATCACCTAGGCGTTTCACTAAGCCTACTTTAGGTAAAATGGGGTGGGGGGGATTTGAAGTGTAAGTAGTCATTCGGATGGGAAGGTTTCCTACAGGCACTAGTATCTAGACTTCAGTCTTGTGTTCGTTTAAGTTTGCAATCCAGCATCGCTAGAGTTAAAAACTAAGTTATGTGGAGGGTGAGACTGATAACCGAATCTTTGTTTATCGAATCAATACCAAATACATGCAACAAAATGATTCTGCACCTGCCCTAGATGTATGGAGAATTCTACTACCGTTGTCATCACAGAGTAGGAGAGAAAATCAGGGATGTATAAATTCTGTTTTGAAGTTGTGGAGTCACCTGATATGAATTTGGACAATAAATTGTGTCCGAAACGTTATCCAGTAAAAGATATTGTTTCACTGTGTGACATTTCTAATAAACAGACTTAAATAGGTAGGATTAATTTGCTATAAGATCATACATGAAAACAGATGTGTAAGCATACTTAAAATGGCAAATTCATCTTAGTGGCCAACCTTTCAATTTTATTCGCCTGACTCAACACCAAATAGAATGAATGCTTTTATACAGGCTGACTATACTTAATAAAGATAACTGAAAGAGAGAAAAACATGTAAGTATTAAACTGCTGAGCACACGTTGTTATACTTTATAGAACAAAACAATGCAATGGATGAAACTGAAACAATGGAGATACTTCAACTATTTTGAAAAATTTCAGTTGAAAAATGAAGACTTTATAACTAAATTAGTTATTATGGTAAATTTTTTAAAATTTTACCTACTTGGTTCTGTCGCCATCAGTATTGGTTCATCTACACAAAAAAGATTACATGATCCATCTGCTGCAGAGCAATCCTCACTGCAGTAGCCACGATCCCTAAGTCGTATATAGTACCACTTGTTCTTTGGTACAGAGCTAATAGATTTAAGTAAACAACTTTCAGATTCTGCAACAGCAGACCAAGTAACATTAAGTTCTTCTGGGAAAATACTTCCTTTTGAAGAATCACGATTTTCAGAAATGAACTTGACAGTCTGTTCTTCAAATATTATACGGGCATTATCGTCAATTTTATAATTTGTATAGTAGGTTTTATCTGGTTTATCTGAGGCGCTATAAGCTTCTATATAAGATCGATCAAGTAGATTTATTCTTTCGGTACTAAATGCTTCTAGATCTATTACACCACTGACATATGAACCAGCTGAGAAATCACGTAGGTCGATCATTGCTTGAACAGTGAACCTGCCAACTCTTTGAATATCAAACTGAAATAATATTTTAAAAGGTCGTTGTAGTCCATCGCCTAGTGTAAAAAGATTATAGACACGTTCACGTTTTTGAGTAGTATCACAAGTACTGGAGACCATTGCATTTAAAACATGGAAAACAGGTGTTATTAGACGAATTGTTGCATATACTCTGTCATTACTATGACCACCACGAATTCCGCTTGAACTACGTTTCAAAGAACCATGTTGACTATCCAGATAAACAAGTAATGGTGAAATGTTACTTTCACCACCAAAATGTGCCGTTAATGAGCCAGAAAATGAAAACTTGTGATCATTAACTGAAATGAAATGAACAAGGAAGGAATGTTCTTTAAACGTTATTGGTAAAGAAAAACTTGTCAAATGAATTAAAGAAAATATTCTTAGTGATCCCTTAAGTTTCTTTGAAAAGCATTGTGCCTAAATTTATATTTTATCATAGGCTGAACCATTCATAGAACTATTAGAAGCATTTGATCACTGAGTAGCTATTTCTTCCTGTTTCTTACCCTTGAACCCACAAATGATGAAGTCCAGGACCGTTGGGTTTCCTGGGCGACTGTGCTATCATTTAGCCACCGGGTCGAAATGCAGACAAACGGTTTCCAACCCCTTGACTGAAAGATAACGTGTCCAACACAGGATATGAGTGTTCTAGGCTTAAATGCAAGCTTTTGAGGAGTCTCCTACTACGGTGGAACGGTTATCCGATGATCTCAAGATTCCAGCAATTGTACAACTGATGTCAGCCTGTGAATATGAACACCCTAGAAGTTAATCATTCTTTTAATTATAATTACAAATGATATAATATATATATATATATATATTTATAATTTCGGCTAAGTATCTCCTGTTTGTGAAACACCCACTAGTCACTGCACTGATGAAATCATTGGAGCTGACTCAATCATCAAGTTAATTGGGCCACACCTGCTGGAATTTTTAAGAGAAGTGAGAGTCAAACCAGCTACTGTTCTGATTGAATATTTCCCCTGTAATGGATGTGTTAGGTTTCACAGATACTACCGGATGAACTGGAAGGCTTAAATAACAATTGACATTTCTTACGATATCATCATACTTCACAATATTACATGATTCGGAAAATGTTAAGACAAAGGCCGTACAGTTATTCCCCAGTCTTATGTTGGCAGTAGCAAAGTGGAACTCATGGCTTCAAGAAGATGGTGCGTGGACGACCTCAGGAAGACTTCTCTAACTTCTGAGGTCATCAAACACCAATTCAGTGACTCGGTTACTTACATCTAAAAAGTATCAGTTATTTTTGTGCAGGGATTCGTGAAGTGCCAGTGTTTTACAAACAGACACATGATGACACACTGTCCACAGAGAAGATAGTCTTTTTGCACTCTAAATATCAGAAACAGTAAGCTTTGGTGAGGCTTCCTGTTCATAATGTACACCAATAATGACAACTTTAGAAGTCCTGGCTGTAGAAATCGAAGTGAAATATAAAACATTTAAGCTAGGTTCATCCTTTCGTGTTTGAAGATTTGTCATGGAACTGTATGCGTTCATGTAGCATTGGATTCATTAGTGTTTCTAAAAAGTTCTAATCACTGATTTGAACTGCTATTGAACCATGGTTTAACAGTTTAGGAGCTACTTTTTAACTTCTGAGTTATTAGTTTATAATGAATTTTGTTTCTGATATATATTGATACGTATGATCTTCAGAATTCGGTGTTAGCCTAAATGAGCACTGAAACTTCGTTGCAGTCAATATTATCATTTTTAATATCGAGATTTTATCTTGATTAGTTAAACCATATTTCTTACCTTCAGACCAACATTTGGAGTTTCCTGCACCGAAGAATCCATCACTGCATACACAGCATGCGGAATTGTTAACGCGATAACACTCTGTATTGTGACTACTACACTCAGTAACAGCATCACATTTGACTAATTCATATGAGTGAGTTTCTTTTTCATTATCGATATCATCGTCATCATCAGTTAAAGGATGAATTGTGACAGGCACAATAATAGCTTAAAATACATATTTAAGGGAAAAAAAAGGAGTTTAGAATAAACCATAGTATTATGATATATTCATATTCGAAGAAGTATGCACAAACGAGTTCAAAGCATATCATTTGCTTAACAAATCAAATTATATAAAAGTATTAGAGATCCAGAGAATTCCACCTGTACTCAAATCTGAAAAGAAAATACTATTATTTAAAATGACATCAGACTGGAAAAAAACACTGACATGCGCTCAGGAACCGAATGCACATTCCAAGAGTAGGCATTGAGGCATTTCTGTTGGATGAGGGGGATCTTGATCACTCTATGTGGAGTAGGACTCAAACTCATGACCCATCGATCTAAAGTCAGGCGTCATTGGCCTTATATTGACACTAAGCTACTGAAACATAATTGGATAGTTGCATCCATACGTTTTATTCTGACTCAGATATTTGTAGAATCCGTTCATTTTACGACAAACCACAGCCAGTACAGTAATAATGGATTGTTTGCATTTTGTTGAATTGTGTCTGACCCGTCAGTAAACCATGTATTCAGCCATTATCTTTTGTTTAGACAAAGCAGTAGCAACAGTTTTAGGAAGATCCGTTCTATTTTGGGGTTTTTCATCAGCTACTTACATGCCTGAACAGTTTTAACATCAGCTTATAAAAAGTGTTTGTGTACGTGAATCAGTTTGATGCAGAGTTATCGACTTGAAGAAAGATAACATTTATATGATGAAAATAAAGACACACGAATTGAATAAATAGGCAAGAAATAACATTAAGTTTGTCAGTTCATCAAAGCACTCATCGAATATTGTCTAGGGTATTCAAACAAAAATAAGGGGAGACAAATGTATTCTATACACTGAGAAATGTTACATAAAACATGTGTACTATCGGTTAGAAGATTTGCGTTCCCTAGGTAAATAAAGGGTGTAGATATCAGACAATAAGCTCACCTAAGTGAAATGCGAGTTCGGTCAACGTATATGAATCGATAATGACTTGTAAAAGCAACAACAAACTTTTTGCCATGGTAGGCTTAGACTGATAACTGTTTTAATAGTGACCTTAAAAGCCACCTTATTAACCACTGAAATGACCAATTAGATATCTATATTTTGACTGGAAGGGTTCTATTTTCATAAAATACAGAGACTTAACTGGCTAATTCAATGGTTTCTAGGGTGACATTTGAAGTCAGTCGATTCAAATCGTTTATTAGCTTCTGCTTCAGCGAAATTCAAATTCATGTGTTTGTGAATTATTTTAAATGATTTTACAATGTCTAATTCATGTTTACTACCAACAAAATAATGCACAGTAGCACTGCTGAAAACGTCCCCACCTTTGGATCACATACCGTTTTGGAAATGCTCATAAATGAGGTCACAAGCTATCATTTCTCTTCACCCACTGTATGTGCTCTAGCATGTGTACATGAGTTGGTATTAGCATTTGGAGGTAACCAGGAGACGCACTTGTCAACTTTTGATTATCTCAGTGTTTCTATATAAAATTTTAAAGCTGTTTGAACATTAATTTTGTGACCTGTTTCTATGATATGTTTGGCTATAGATGAAGAGGGTCGTCTCCTGCCAGCGTTTATCACGACTTTAGACTCCATTTGTTGTTGAAGCCATTTGGGAACATTAACCACTGCACCAACGATTACTTCAGATCCAACTGTGTTTACCAGTTTATATATGTGTGTGGTTACACATACAAAGGGGGGAGTAATCGAACCGTGCAGTTGAGGGTAGAAGGACATGTACCTAAATGGTTTCAAAAATAAATGGCGTCTAAAGTCGTTATAAACGCCGATGGGAGACGACCCTCTTCATCTATAGCCAACATATCATAGAAATAGGTCACAAAATTACTGTTCAAACAGCTTTAAAACTTTATATAGAAACAGTAATGGCTGTATTTCCAAGCAGTACATAAGCTATTGTCTGCTTATACGAAGCCTGGTTAAAATTTGTTAAACTAACATCTTGTTCAAATTCTGCTGTCAGAAAAATAATGAACAGTAAGTCTACATAAAAGTCACTAACTGATGCCTTTTATCTACACTTTCTGAAGACAGTTGACATGAAAAAAGTGTTTAGAGTGAAGGTTTTTTTCGAAGACTGCTTCTGAAAACCATGCTTTTAAATATATCATTCTAAAGTTAAAACATTCCAGAGAGGTTTGGTGACAAAGATCGTAAATACGTCTACAAAATAAGTGTGGGAATGTTTTGTAACCTTGGCATACCATCGAGGACTAAGTGAATTCAAGATATTTGTCCCTCTAAAAATGTCGTTCACCGTCTTCAAACAAAGTCCAACCAAATAATTCAAAAATTTTTTTTGGTAAAACCTTTTGTTCAGCAGAAGCATTAGGAACCTAGAAATTCAAGCCTTAACTATATGTTCAGAAGAAGAGTATAGACTTTATCATCTTTATCATGGCCTTTAAATTGTTAAATAGCCATTTTTTTTATCCCTCACCTTTCCGAAGCTTGCTAGAATTGTGCTTGTAATATGAAACATTCTCGAAAGCGTTTGGTGAGAGAAGGCACTACATGGCCATTTTAACGTAACATTCTTGCATCTGCTTGCTATACGTATTTGTGTTGTTCGACTTGCTTTGGACTTAAGTACCTCTGAGAAATTCGCTCCTTTGAATTATATATCTGTGAACACACAGCTCTGAAAATAAATCACTGAAAAGATAGTCATCTCTTCTGTGATCACCTTTTTCTTACACTATGGCTTTTAATGGGGTTTAATACTCAGTTTCATGAGAATTTGTTGACATCACTCTTTCTCTTTGTAAGAGCAAGATAGGCTTTTACTGTTGGTTTGTGATTAAGGGTTTCAAGGTAGTCTCATATATGCAGGTGACTGATCATTCTTTCAGTGAACTCAGTAAGTTGAAAACAATCAAAGAGAGTGTCGAATAGACTTCCGGTTCATGATGAGAGAAGCACACCCAAATGTAGTTCATGGCATCATAAAACCCCAAGCTGTTATAAACGCTTTTTTTCTTTTAAGAAAGTCAAGATGAAACTTCCCATTTGATTTGCACATTCATATCATGGACTGCTAATCATGCAATAGCCTTCTTTGCTTCCGGATACTATCAGCATAATCAACCAGATAGTTACTTTTGGGTAATCCGGACAATTTAATCATCTGGTTCGAATTTCTTCATGTAGGTCTCTAATTACATTGATAATCGATCTTTTAGTCATTTCACTTAGTCTGGTGAGCAATATTGACTAGTCTAATGATGGAAAAGTTTTGCAGCCCAGGATGATGGTGGTTTGGTGTTCTCTAAACGTTAACGTTGCCCACCAAGCCTGATGATGAAACATTCACGACAAAGTACCAAGGCTCAGAATACACCGAACTGCCATTATGATTAGTCTAAGCTCTTTTTAAAGACTCAACGCAATAAGTTTTATATGTTATAAAATCTAAAGAAACTTTTTTCTATTGGCAAGTTACTAGAAACAGTGCATCTCTTTCCTTTTAAACATATACTATAAGTAATTACATCTGAGAAACCGATTGCTTGTAAAACTGTTGGATTCCCTCCAATTTTCCAATGGATACTGAATAAACTGAGAATGGCCCTAATAACGCGTTGAAACTAGTTAAGGAATACCTGACACTAGAGAGCACCAAGCAACTGTTTCTTCCTTGTATTAAACTGCTGAAACTGAACACCTTTTACTCTTCAAAAAGTTGATTGATGAACCTTTACTTTATGAGCATGAGGAATTATTTTTCAGTTCCTAATGTCGACTATACTAGTTGTTGACTCATAGCTTAACTGGAGCAAATGTAACTTGGTGATATACACGGACGTCTGTGTCCTTTACTTACCTGGGGGTTCAGGTGTCCCCATCTAGTGGAAACAGTTGGACTAGACGAGAAAAATTCGGAAGTAAACATGTATATGTGCTAACTAAGTATCAACAAAAATGGTTTTAACCTCCGTTGTTTATGTGCAGGTCGGTAATTCAGTCGATTAAAAAGATAAGTGCACAGAGAAGTTATCCCTGGGCTTATCAGTCCCAGTAGAGTACATTTGATTCTGTATAGCATTTGTTGAACCATCCGAAATACTTAGGAAACACAACTGTATATACTTAGTGATTTTCAAGATACAAACCTGAGAATATGAAAATACCATATGCATTCTGATGTAGGCAATTTCATGAAGTTCTGTTAGACTTCTTAAGCTATAAGATTTTTGGTACTGCAATCGGTATGTGAATTTTATCAACTCACTTTAACATTCCTCGAAACTATGTCAGTTAGTCAGGACGAACATAAAGTTCAATAGTTATTAAGAAGCTTAGGCAAAGATGATCAAATCTGTTACGAAACTTATCAAAAAATAAAAATGTTGACATATTTACTCACGTTCATTTACTTCCTTTCTTTGTTCATCGCCATCATATTTGCCTAAGGGATAGTACGTTTGCGTTGTGATACTTTCTGGAGGTACATAAACATCATCAGTTGATGCAAGATGATCATTTTCACGGTAAAAGTTATCGTCTGTTCGATTCTCTGTATGCATATTAATTTCAGTTTCGGGAACATGATCGATACCAGATGATTCGCCTTCCTCTTGAATTATACTCCAAGTAGCTTTTGGTGAATCTTGTGATATTTCATAAGCATAATTATCATTTGAATTGTTAGGATAATAATTATCGAGTGCTCTTTTAAAACTCTGTGTCCTAGTAAACGATTCTTCTATTGGCTTTTCAACATCAAAATTCTTGATCAGGATGGTTTCAGAACTTGCTTGATTGTTAAAATCTATTGGATTCTGTAAATCATTACATTCTTTGTTGAAAGACACAACAAATTCATTGGCGGCTTCATTTAAATGCCGTACATTTGCTTTAGCTACATTCTCTGACTTGTACAAAGGGACTAGCCATTCACCATGTAAGGCAACATTTGTCTCGCTTCAGGTTTAGGAATTTAGAAGTCAGTACGATTTGGTGTCGTAAGAAAAAATAACTAAATAAGCTGCTTTGAAATAAATTTTCACTTCTTAAAATGTAAACATATTAAATAAATACCGTAAAACAGTATACTCTTTCAAAGGTTTCATGTTATGGGATCTGGCTGTGGACTTTTAATAACAAGGGATGATAAAAGTATTTCCTTTCACTTCATGATTATGATCTCTTGAAACTTAGTGCTGAAATATCTACTACGGTATATGACTGCTGTGAAGATAATCAAACATTATCATTTTCCTGACAAGCTACAAATCTCCATCTTTCCAAAAAGATATACTTTCTTTCTGTGAGAATTTTATTCATAGGTGGTCTCCATTCAGCGAAAATGGTACAGTTCCTAGATTATACATGATAGACAGGTTAGTTTGGTTTGAACTTAAAATATAGATCGCTATGTTGTAATTCGAACTGTAGCCCATATGTGCCAACAGAGATCTATCATTTCAATTCAGTGTAGTGATAAACGCTTAATTAAAATCATCAATAAATGTCTAATGATAACGTCATACAGAAAACAGCCCCAGTTACCCAGTAGCTTAGAGAATAGCCCTCATGGGTTTGAAGTGCTGGGTTCTGGATTTGAAAGTCCCAGTGGGAATAAAGTCACTCACTTAGTCCCAACTACGCCCATCTGATGAATCTCAAGTAAGACGAAAGGTAGATACTGGATTATTGTGCGAACAATCATCCGGTGAACAATGACACATTGAATCGAGTTATCCTCTGAGGAGTCCTTACGGCAACAGACAGTCGTCAGTTACGTTCATCAAAACAATAAGAAATTATTTATATAAGGAAATACACACATTGTCTCAATAACTGCTTCATGACTGTCGAAATTCAGTGCAATCGTTCATAAAATCTTAGGTTCACATTTTGGTTAACCAGCAATTATCAATGAAGCTTACCTACATCTCCCATGAAACCCTAAATACATCTGCCCAAAGTGGCAGTCATAAAAGTTATTTTCAGCGTGTTTGACTAACTTTAAATTAGTACCTTTGAATCTATTCCGATTATGGTGTAGGCATATTTCATCAGCATATGGCTTGATCAAAGTAATAGACTATTTTAGAAATATTTAATCACATATATGAAGTTTACCTTCAGGAGCTCTTACTTCTTTCTCAATACAGTCACTGTACAATAACAATAAACCTATGTATATGCCAATTTACCGTAAGAAACTCACTTTAACTTGATTTTGCCCCAAAAATTCAACGCATATTGAAGCAGTGATGTTTCTGTACCTGATTAGTAGCTTACTGTAGATTCGATCTCTTTCAGCTAAGAAAGGGTTTATGTGAAGCTTTTAGAAAGATCTTGTGAAGTTAGTTCTGGACAGTAATGCAGCTGAATATTAACAAAGCGGAAAGAAATTCGTTTGTTGTTAATATGAATTTTGATATCGGAAGCAAATATTGATTATGGTAAGCCATTTTTTAGGCTCTAACGCTGAAAAGTTTTCTAGGGATAATCGATCTAGATATTCACTTCAGTTTTACCGGCTTTGTTAGGCACCAAGCAGCCATCGTTACGATACCATAAAATATTTTCATTAATTTGGAAAATAGGAAGTGTCATGAAGTTGGTTTCTTGAATCTAAGCACACTTATGAATAAAAGGAAACTTACGTTGACCAGATGTTTGGCTCTACAGCTTGTGAACTTCGTGGCAGTTGATAGCCACCTAGAGGTCTCATGAATATGCCAGATTCTGGAGGTAAAGCCAAATCTTCTGGGATATCATTTTCATTCCACTCAATATTGATATATTGCATAAAAGCGTAGGAATGAATACCATTGGAAACAATTATCATTCCATATGTGTTACTCTATGAATTTGGAAGATCGCAAAGTGTGTATGAGGTGATAAATACAAAAATATACACAATTAGACTAAGAAGCAAATGAGAAAATGCAAAAAGAAAATTTATATAACTCACGCTGCTCGTTTCCTGACAGTAACACGTAAGCATCTTGAAGTTATCGCAACATTCATATATTTTTAAGATAGTACTTGTCTCAAATTGACATCATTTGGAGAACCATTGAAATCCTGGGAGCACTGGACAGCAGTTCAAATCCACAACCAGACTGGGGGTCGAACTCAGAACCTTTGGGTTTCACGCAAACACCTTAACCATTCGGCAGCTGGGTCGAAATTCAGTGGCTCACAGTTTCTTACCCTTGAATATTTACGATATAGCTTGACTATCATTCAGCTGCTCAGTGCTCTCAGGTTTTCAATGATTAACTAGCTGATTTCAGTCCCTGACGAAAACAAACTTAAAAATGAAATCCCCACCAACCTCAAAACACATTTCTTGTATTATTGATACTGGATGATGATTGAAGGTGGAGTGAAGATCTGAATCGCAGTAGAATTTGAACTAACGGCCTTCAGGTTACCAGTTCGGTGCCCTACCAACTGTGTGTAATACAAGACTCAATCTTAATTTCAACTCAAAAACCAAAGGTTTCACCCAAAAGGGACACTAATGTATCTAAGTTCATATGTTTGGAAATAATTGTTAAAATGGTAATGAATAACAGTTGTATACTGTCACTGTCATAGGAAACCAGACAAAGAATGCTCAATTCAGTTTAGCGTTTGTGTCAGCCTCTTGAGCATTCACACGATTTTGTCTAAGAATGATGATTACAGCAAGAATAAAGATAAAAACATAGGAAACAACTAAATTTAGGACTAGTATTAGATTTCTATAGCTTTACCAGTGAAATATTTTCGTGTTTTACTGCATTGTTTTTCTAGTGTCTTTTGAATAACGGTCGATAAACAAATGTTCAGATAATGGGTAATGATTGGAAGTGAAATGAAAATTTGGGTAAGGCAGTCTCGGAAACAGAGACTACTTGGTTTCCAGCCCGGTAATCTACCAACAGAGCTACGTGACCCAACTGCTTACCCGATTTTTATTTCCCTGGGCAAAACCTTTGCTGATGAAAGTGAAACTAAATTCTGGTTACTGGTCAGGTCTCATAGCTCAGTTGGTAGGGCAACGAACTGGAAACCCAATGATCGTTGGTTTGAATCCTGCCGCAGGCCGAATTTCCATTTCACTTTCAATTACCACTTAGTAACAATACTGGTCTGCTAACTATGGCTATCTTAGATAGTCAGTCTCATAACCAAATGTCTGTCCACCTATGTTTATCGCCCTCTTATAGCTACTTTTCGCTTCATTTAAAAATAATTATTAGACACCATACATTAGTTGAGAATCTCTGGAGGTAAAAATGGTATTAAGAGTTTGCTATGCATCAGACACGTTCATAGTTATTATTTATGTTGAGTTGAGCCAAGTATTCATGCAGACAGATACATTAAATGAACCAGAAGAATAATTAGACGGACTTTTAAAGTTTTGCTCTGCTATCACGAATAGCATAGGTATGTATGCCCACTTTGTATTTCAATAAGTTTTCTGTTGATTATAATTTCAACAATAACTTTATAAGTTCCGTCACTGAATAATCAAGCTGAGCAGACAGTCGTGGCGAATATTTGTAGTTCAGAGTTTGATTGTTTAAAGTGGATTGTTCTCTGAGTGAACAGTCCATATATAGTACCTAAACGTTAATTGTATATAACTGCAGACAAATTAGACTTTGGACAAATTACATCCATTCATATAACAGTTGAATTTAACTTCTACTAACCTTTTGGTTGGTCAAATGTATGTTTGTCATATTCTCCCATAGTATGTGCACTAAATATTGAGCTTTGAGTCCCACCTCTTCTGTATATGACAGATGTATAAATTTCGACAGTCGATCAGTTTGCAGACGTTCTAAACATGACAGTTTCGATGGCGAAAGTAAATCAATTGCTCTAAAAGTATATAGAAAAGAATTCATGTGGCTTGTGAATCATTTCTTCAGATACTTTTCTCAATCTATCATGACCTTGTAATAAAATGAATGAAGCAATCAGTAAGAAAAACTCCTTAAGTTACTAACTTTAGGTCGAAGCGCTTAGCTACTTAAACTTGATGAAACTAAATCAATTTCAACATTCATTGGAATATCTTGAGTTAACATATCAACTAATGAGAGTTACGTAACGAACGAGCAATTGCTAAGTAAGATTTTGAGAGTGCAAAGATAATTCTAGAAGTCGTATTTGATCATGAGATTGGGTAACACTAGAGATCTGGCACCTGAATCGTGGACGCAGAAACAACGGCTAACTCTTTGTTTTCATCACTTCACGTTCAGTATAAATGTAAGTGATGCTGGAATTGATAAATTAATGAAGATATCTTTTTCACTAAAAATATCATTGATGCCCTTTCGTTCTTCCTATATAAATTAACGGACCAAATTCAACTTACGCTGAACGATAATTGTTCGATTTTCTCAGAGCTTTAGGGTTTGCCCTTCAACTTTAACCAGTCTAGGTGAATTTGAGAGTATCTGTTTGTTTGTGTTGGACTTCGTTGATTCAAAATTTAGTAAATGTTTCTTCAAAGGTCTTGTTGTCACGTTGATGTATAACTCATCCTATCGACTAGTCTTTTACCTTTTTCGCTGATACATCAAAAAGTGTGCATACAAGGCTGATTCATCTCCGTAAGGAAAGCGAACTGCGGGATAAAGGCTGGCAGAGTGATTTAGAAGTAAACTACTGAAGAACGAATTTCTACTGAAGATGAGATGGATGTCACCAAACATACAAATGCAGATTGACAATTCCAAGTTTCAACTGTTCACTTTCCACTTTTCCTGGAATATACTTCCGAAGATAGTGTCTAATGTAGATCTCACAGCTACTCCGTCAACTTATTTGTTAGAATATTACTGAATGGGAGCTAGAAATTCGCTATGCAGTTTAGCATTAATTCTTTCAAGCTCAAAGTGAGAAAGCTGCTGTGTATCTTCCTACTTAACAAATGCTTATAAATGTGCTTCATGGTTTCAGTAAACATGACAATAATGAACAGAGATTGGACATCAAAGGATACAGTGCATGTGTTGAGTATATACTTTTTTCCTGTGGGCAAAAGGGATGGTGTGTTCTACACCGTGCTGGAGTGCTATTATCTCTCATCTTATGCATATCATTTTCTTTGCCTATGTTTTTTATACTGGTTATGATAATTTATATCATTATTGTACTACCACATTCAGTTCGCGATCAAGCTTCATACAGTTGTATAACTCATCTAGTATACTGATAAACATGAGACTGATCCACTTGATATCCACACCTTTTGTTGTGTTTTAAAACGTGTTCGCCATAAAGTATTATGGCTGTTAATTATTCCATTTCATAACTTCTGGACCTTATGAAAATATAATAAAAGCACCATCCGTCATTTGTATTATTTTCTTTTTGATAAAGTGCTGTAGTCTTCGGATGATCAAATAATTATAAGTAGAGTGCACTCCAACCTGCCAAATTAGTCGGATCTGGACTCAACTTCATTACGAGTGTATATCATTAAATTAAATTCTGTGTTTATCCGGTTGGATAATCAGTTCTTTTAAGCACGTGAAAGTGAGTTTTTAAATGTGATTGACTTGCCTTAACTTTGAAATAAGGTCCATATTCTTCAGTAGTAATCATAAGGATTGCATCAAATCTTTGGAGTCTGTCAATTAGGAGGTAATAGGTTTTTTGTCTTTGCTTTAAAGTGAGGTTTGCTTTCTTTTTTGGGAATGTCTTCACAGTACCCAACACTGATATGTATATGCTTTTTGAATGCCGACACCCAATTGGTTCGTTTCAAGGATAAATGACTTGTACTCCTTGTCACATTTAGAATAAATGACTTCATGGTCATCGACAGACTGTGCATAGATATACTGAAGCATTTTGAAATGATGGAAAAATATTTGTGATTCAGGATAAGGATGGAGGTTATTTGGTGTTGTATCAGCTTTGGTATCTTGTAGTGAAAGTTTCATTAATAGGCTTGGTGACGTCGTCACCTACTTCTTTATGAAGTTAGTGCTAAAGGTGTCAGTCACTAAGCCTAGTAATGAAACTTCCACGACAAAATATTGAAGCTAAGAGAACACTAAACCACCATCATATATTGAAGCAACTTCATATGATGATTTGTACAATAAATTTTGTACTGATTTCCGAGTTTATTAAATATATTTAGTCTCTTTGCACGGTAGGACTTACAACACCCAGAGTTTCTAGTCAGTAATTTTTATCTGCAAAAGCTGATGCCTTTTCATTGATGCTGAACTTCATTCTGATTTAATATGCTTACGCTGTTTGAGATAAGTGAATAGGTCAATAATACTCTTAAGTGAAAGAGTTAAGCCATCTGGTATACTCGAGTAGGATTTTATTTGTTCTTATTATCTTCATAATAGCTAAGGTAGGAAAAAAGTGGAGTAGTCAGACACTCAAACTACCGAGATAAAATGTCTTTTTTATACTATCTTGCTAAATATTCTATTTTGTAGATAAGAATTCCACTAAATGAAGTCAGTAAAAGTAAGTGGCCTCATCAACGTACTTATGATACTTCCAAATCATGTATGAAAACTTTAAAATGAACGTTGATAAAAGGTTGAATATAGCCTAAATGATTTTTCAATGTAGAAAAAAATCCTTTTATGAATTTTGTTTGAATGAATGAAAGAAGTCCACTATTTTATGAATGAATATTTTTCTGTCAAATAATATTACGTCATACTTCCACATGAGAAAATACACACCGCAGATATATCCCCAATGATTTGTACTTTTAGTAACTAAGAGACACCTAACAGTTTTTAGTGAACAATAATTTCATAAATAAGAGATGCTAAATGCCATTATCTGACAACGTTTGCAATAAGCCAGACTAATTAAAATGATATTTTATTATGAGGGAAAAAATGCGAAAAATGTTTAAGCAGTTTATCTTCCTACTAAATTATTGTTGTATGTAAAGCAAATTTTGTTTAAAATGTGCCAACGGGTAATATAAATTAACAAGCCGCCCGTAAGATGGTTATTTATGCCACATTATCGCAACAGAGTTGACTATTATTGATCAAAACCCCAGAATGGACGACGCATGCATTACTGAAAACTAAGAGTATCGAGAAAACAACCCACAGTAGTTCGAAAATAACTAATAACTGTTGCTTCAAAAGCTTCCTAAATATTCTGTAAACAATAAACTGAAGCATTCGCCATCTCTAGATCTTCTGTCCACCCCTCTCAAATTGACTTATTCTAACTTTCATCCGCTGTAACTTCATAGTAATAGGTTTCTCGGAAAAGGTAATTTTTTGTTTTTCTTCGTGTTGGCAAAGAAACATATCTCCTTACCCACATCGCTTCAGAGTATCGTATACATAAAAAGAGCCATTTATTAAAACGAGATGAATTACACCCTTGTAAAGTTTCAATTAGTAGTTAGTAAATGTTTGGAATTCTCTTCCCACCTTTTAAATGCAGATCTGTTTTGATACATCGTTTGACCATACGTAATGAAGTTTTCCAGCATGTCTATCACTTCGTTTGCTTAAGAGGTTCCACTGGCTCTAATGAGTCTGAAAGTCATAAGATTTTAGCATAAATGACAAAAACTTGATCAAAATTTTCCGATAGCAGCCACTTCACGAGTAATTTATCTGATTGCATACTAAGGTTTAGTGTACTGCTTTCGTAGCGCTAACAGTGTGTCCTGGCACTATCAAGTGAGTGATGCAGAGGCTTGGTTTAAAGAGGTGTCAGTAGCTGAAGTTGTATAAGTTTATCAGTTTAGCTAGTTGGGACAAGTGTTTTTCAATAAATGTTGCCATCTATCCCAGCGCGGTATGTCAACTGAAACAGAGATTCTGCTAGGTAGAAGTTAAGGATAGTTGAAGTAAAATACTGTATGATTTACAGAAATGTCTGGACTTTCAGGTTGGGTGTTAAGAATTGACCAAAATCGTTGGTTTTTGACCCCAGGTTAAACAGCTAAAAATCAATCACATGGTGTGGACGCATCCTTTCGCTATATTTATCTAGATCCTTATACAATACTTCACGGCTTCTTTCAATTGGTTTACATTTCACTTTTACTACTTTCTATAACTTTTGATCACGTTATTTATTTTTCTGTATTTGTTATCTTCCCGCTTTGTCAAATGATGTGTTGATCTAAAGTGTTTAACCTAGGACGTTAAAGCGTTAATTCTAGGTCCTTTGTTGATAGTGGCAGAATGACCTTTGAATGATCTGTCATTACACCTCACTTAATCTTTGAGTAAGAAATGGTATGTCAGACTTATCTTAGACAAATACTCTGTATTGATGTTACTGAGTTAATAACCAGACTGTAAAGCTGAATGATTTGGATACTCCGAAATGGTAATTGCCAGAAATCTATCAGCTATTTGTGCCTTATTCTAACAGCCATAATAATGTAGTCTACAGAAAAAATATAGTCAGTGGTCTAATAGATAACGCTTTGGCGTTTAAGGTGATTGGTCCTAGGTTCGAGTTTCAGTGGGAACAATATTGCCTACTGAGAGGCAGGTACATCTAGCTGAAAAGCAAATAGGATGAAATGTGTCCCCTGGATTTCACTGTTAGCCGTTATCCGTCAGTAATATCAAATAATGCTCACAACTTACCTAACATGTATTTTTCCACTGTTTCCATTATTTACTGAAGTGAAAATGGCTAAATATCTTCCATCAAAATCCTGTAGACGTTTTTTCGTAGTAGTTGTATTTACTGGATAATTTGATGGTAAGTTGTCCTCAGAAATGTTGTCCAGTGCTAGGAGCCCATTTTTATAGATCTGTAAAAGATAATGTTGAAGTAAGCTAAAGTTAAATTCTTCTCTGAAAGTATTCAGTGCTATTGTGTAATTTAGAAAACGATTCATCAACTTGTCATGAAATTGAACCATATTTGGTGGGTATTCTTAGCAAAGGCTTCTAAGATATATCGCTGTGGAAGTCCCAAGTGCTCTTGTGCATCAAATATATTAAAAGAGTTTTATGTGAGTCTAACCTGCTATCCTCATCAGTTTTCGGAGATATGAATGACTAGAAGTTGAAAGAAAAAATGTTTTTTTCATGGTTTCAGTATTACAAACTATTTATAGACCGAGATAACGGTGGAATGGTCTAATGTAAGATGTGCGTTATCTCATCTAGTAGATCATCACATATAAACATCCAACATTTCATGTGATTATCTAAATTTGGCAGACTCAGTTAACTAGGGATCATATCATCATTCGGAGACAGTCAGGTTTCTGAGTGGTCCGGTTTTCTCGATTAGCGAAGAAATGTTATAGTCTAGATCTTTAAACACTCTTATATTATTTGAGTACAAATAAATTTCAAAGACAGATTTATGCTCAACGAGTATTAAGAAAATTTTGATAAAATCATTGGGTATCAAGTGTGATTTTTCAAGAGATCCTACACTTTTTTAAGCACATACCGATGATTTTGTCTACAATAACTGAACTCTTGAGATAACAGCTATTGGGAAGTTGAAGTATTTTTTTAACGTATCTATGACCTGTTTTGGATTCTTATTCCCTGACTAGTAAGAATGCACACAGACCCATAATGAAATGTAAAGTATGCTGTGGCAATTTACTTATTTTTCGCTTGGTTATTCCAGTTAGATTATCTGAAGGGATGATTTAAATGGACTGTTTGGTGCTCTCAAATGCCTCATCGTTGATAAAAAAATGAAACAGTAACTCAGGTTACCATCGTATTTGGCACCATTGCTGTTCTAAGGTGTTTTAGAGAGATGTTATTTGACATTGAAAAGGTTGTTTTACTGTAGTGTGACTCATTTTTTCTGTAGTTAGAGTTTTTGACGGTGAAAAGCAATTCTGAAAGGTTTTTAAACTTCAGAGAAAGAAGAGTAGCTTAGACATTTCACATTACATTGAATCCTAATGTACTCAACAGAAAAGAAGGCCTAACTATCCAACCGACCTAAACACTATTTCCAAAAACAGCACATCACATACAGTGATCAGAACAAAAGTGCATATACACATACAAATCGAACTTATCATCAGTAGAATGTTTCTTACACATTCACACCCAGTCACATATGCACATATTCACATCACTTTGGACTCCAGATTAATAATGGATAATAAAGACAAGTTTGAACGCTGCCGACTTACATAATGACATTTATACCCATATTATCATCATCTATAGACAATGTGATCTGATTCATAACCATTTACTATTTAAACAGTAGATAACTTGTACAGGCTTTATTTTCTGAAGAAACGATTTCCACCAAGTCGCAAAACATCAGAAACCTATTTTTCTATTTCGTTGGGATTTTAAAAATATATTTCATTTATAATCCGTTTCATACATTTAGTTCCCTTGACAAATTTGAACAATGCAAGAACAAAGATATTTGCAAACTAAAACGAGCTCATTTTAATTCATGACCTTTCGTCAGCTGCAAACAGCCTACAACTGTTATGAAATATTAGTAGTAATAACCACAAAACGATTTAAACACGCAGAAATAAAAGGAGATTTGAAATCCAGGATTAACACTAAGGTAGTAAGTCAGAGGAACATAGAATTAGTAGTTACAAATCTTAGTCAAAACCAATGGGTATTTATATATGATGAGATAGAAAATTCTGAAGCTGTGGAGTGGGTGGATAACAAATGAAAATCGGTGTAAAAGAAGGAATTGGTTAAGAACTAACAGGTTACATGAAAACTTAAAACTCGTTAAGTGATTAGTATTGAGTAAGTATTTAGTGAAGAGATGATGCAATCAAAAGAAAAGGGAAGACTATAACACATGCAAAAATTATGTATATTTACCAAGGTAAAGAAAGATTAATTACAGGTCAGGTTGAAAATGTTTGATAGTGAGAGCTTCTCCGAATCGTAATAAACTTGGTGTGTTCTTTGTATGTTGATTATCCTGAAGGATTGAGAGACATCTATTTGATGTTCTGTTCCCATCAGTTGACTGGTGATTGAGTTTTTTAGGACATTCTGCAATTTGGATACAGATTCCTCAGAATATGCCCATAAAATCGAGTAACCACCCTTCTTTCAGTCCCTGCTATGTACTTGGTTCTGCAAGCTCAAGTGACATGGTATACGCAGTTGGAGTTAACGCGAGATGGATATCTGTCTACTTTCGACTGTGTTATTGAGCACGATGTAATGCAAACTGATATCAGTCTGACAGCAGGGAAGCTCCTTCTCAGTGCATCTTATATTCTTCTGTCTTTTCTTTCATATGTCTGATCACGCTAGAATGCTAGACTAAGGAAAACAGGCTTCTTATCAATTGTTTGATGTTTTGGTCTCAATAAATTCTTTTCCATGCTTCATAATGAATTTCTTCACGTATCTATTCTCTATAAGAGCCTTCTCAATTAACCCGAAATCTTCTTGTTTATCTTTAGAACACAGCCTTTTTATCCTAGTGAATAGCGTCCTGACTAAACCACGCTTATAGCTGACAGGACAGAAGCTGTCATAGTGAAAGTACTGACCAATCCATGTGTCTTTTCTGTGGATAGTTTTCTAAACTGTACCATCACATCTCCATCTTATACTTAGATCCAAAAAAATTGAATCTGTCCTCATTTTGATATTCGATTGTACGTTAATACTACTATAGCATTCCATTTCAATTGTAGACTGTTTACAGCTGATGAAAGGTCATGAACTAAAATGAACTCATTTTATTCTACGAATGTCTTTTTTCTTCCATTGTTCAAATACAATCCATTTATCCGGTGTTCAACTTATTGAACTCTATCAGGTCAAATTTTGTTCCTGAAGTTTATAAAATTTATGTTTTGAAACTACTGAAGGTACTTTGGCGATCATCATTTCGCTGATGCAGATATTTCGAAAAACGTGACGTATATATAATAAACTTCTTAGAAATTTGTAAATATCTAATCAGATGAAAAATAATGCATTTGTCTATATGTATTCTTGGTTTGAAAATCACCGAAGTAAATGGACTAATACTATTAAAGCGATAGCTTATTTATGCCTTAGAAGTGCAGAAAAGTTGTCATTTATTATGGCTTTATCATTTAACATTTGTTAACTTAACAAATGTTTTCAAAACTTGTTTTGAAGATTCATCTATTTATTATAGAGTGGTAATTTTTCTCCAAATAGTACAGTTTAGGTACATTTACCAACCATAAAGACGTTGAAGTAGGTAAGCTAACCTAAAAATGACTTCAGTTTCACTTCCTTGTCCCAGTTCTCCTCAAGGTAATACCTATTTTCACCTGTGTCCTACTGACCTTTTCTGAAATATTTATGGCAAATATCATGTTTCCTTTTTACTGCATTATTGAGAAAAATATTAACAGAGAATAAAGCTCAACACCTTTCTATTTCATAATAAAGAAACTTTAATCTGAGTTGATTTTATGCAACTGTTTCCCTAACCAGAAGATTTTAAAATGCTCGAATCCATTTTGTCATGCAACAACTTCAAACATTGGATACGTCCAGTCTGCTATGATTTTGCTGCTGGAATCAACTTTGGAAAAAATGAAACTTTCTAAAATGAAAAGGTTTCTACAACAACTTTAGTGCATTTCCACAAAAACAGACTAAATACGCTGTAAAGCGAAGTAGAAATTTCAGACCCATATTTTTTTTCTAGCTGACTACCCAGTACATCAGTGTGTAATAGAATATTTTTGTCCTTCTGAGTGAACCACTTCGTTCTGTGAATGTATGCCTCTATCAGCAATTGCTTTAAGTCGCTGAAAAACAACTGTGAGGTTATAGATTCACAATCTTTCCCAAATTTCCTAGTTTGATGATCACGTGGTATCGTCACACTTGATATACAAATGTGACTTGTGTTCTAGTAAATAAACTACATTTTACTTTTGTTTTGTTTTTTATTGAAACTGAGATTCAATTTTACGTATCTTCTGTTTTGAAAAGTTAAAGTCTTGGTAACAAGTTTAAATTCTTGGTAAGACAATAATTTATTTGACATCGATGAATCAATTACTTGAAAGTAGCATATTTTCAACGATCTATCCCATCGAACACTAGTATATTATAGGAAAAGATCTTATAAAAGGACAAATGAAGTGTCTGCCATATGTATCTCTCAAAGGTTCTCCCACCGATATTAGTGCTGGTTGAAAGCAACCTTTAAGTGGACAGTAAAATAAAAGTAGTACCGCAAACATAAAATCTATGCAAAATGTTATCACGAGTGTAACTTGTAAGACCAGAAAATATTTCTGATTTAAAATCGTAAGGTTGGGTTAACCGGAGAAAAAATTTCAGGAGCATATAGTTTTCACTTTGACACTTGGCTATACTTTTTTCAACGAAACTTTACTTCAAAAAATTCCCAGAAAAATTCAGAAAAACAAATTAATTCAGGGAAGAAAATTCTGTTTTCAGTGTATTATTTTCATTAGCTGCACAAAGATTACGTATCGAAAGACTGTAGAACAGGCTTTCACAACCTTACTTTCTATTACCCACTATGCCTACAGAAATATGCGGAAATGAATTCTGAGAAACTGAAAGCAAATAAAATATATGGTCAATGAAGTGTTGTTAGATGATCTTAATTTCTGTCCTTTTGCAGTTATCCGTTACATTTGTTCGACTAGTTGTGCCACAAGTTATGTAAACTGAGCCTTTGTTTACCCTTCACATGACAGCATTTTTCGTCGGCTGATACGGTGAACTGTATGCACCTTAGAATAATTCGCTTTCTTGCAACTTGTTTGGTGTTTTTTCTACATTTTTCATAAAGAGAGGAGGTTTA